TGCAATCAACGAACAATCCACAATTAACGATTCACAGACCGCACAGCATAATCAAAGCAACTAGGAACAAGCAACAGGCCTAGCGTTATTAACAATAAGGGAAGGTCGAAACGGGTCAGCGAATCCATCGATCCAGTGAAAGACGACACAACAATCGATAAATCGATCCATCGATCCATCRATCCATACGCAACACTCTCTTCTATTACTTGTTGAAGTCCGTGATGCCATCGGTCTTCCTATCGGCAGTATTGGTGCTRGCCGTTGTTTCGTTCCTGRTTTGCGAACGAGGTGGCTCTGGTTCTTTTCGCGGCGGTGGCTGTTGCTGTCTCGCATTTTCGGAGGCATCCTTCGTCCGGAGAACAAGGACCCAATCCGCCACGCACCGGGGCGTTTCGTCGGCACTGGAGTTCCAAACCCAGCAACAAGGGCCCAAAATGCCGGCGTTGTTTGGAAGCGAGAACAGTCGCGAACAAGAACCAGACACCCAAAACGAAACAGAAACCGAAGCAGCGCAAGAACCCACCGAAGAACGAGCCTCCCCGACCGATCGCCGCGAWTCCTTTCCCAGGCACGTCGTGATCGCCGGCGGGGGGATCATCGGAACGAGCATTGCCTACTACCTCGCCAGGGACCACCCAGACTCCCTCGAGACGCTGACGCTGGTCGATCCCACCGGGGCCGTCGGCTCCTGCGCCAGCGGCAAGGCCGGTGGCTTTCTGGCGAGGGACTGGAGGGACGGGACCCCCCTCCAGGAACTCCAGCGGTCCGGCTTTGACCTCCACCAGGAGCTCGCCGATGGGTTTGCGGAAGCCACGGATGCGGACACCGAAACCACAAGGGAGCACCCCACCGATTACCGGCGCCTGACCTGTGCCGCGGTGGCCGTCGACGAAACCGGCGGCGACGATCCAGACGGCGACCCAGACGGCGACGGACCGCAGCAGCAGCAGCAGCAGCAGCAAAACCAGAGGAGGCCCAACAAGCCTCCCTCCAAGAAACTGGTCGACCTGGAGTGGGTCGATCCGGACGTGGTCCTGTGGGGGGCGGAACGCGGGAACGGGGCAGAMRGAAACGGAAGCGACGACTACGACTACGAGAACGACGAAACGGGGGGCGGGGCCGTCGTCCCCATGGGCGGCGAGGACACGATCGCGCAGGTCCACCCGCGCAAGCTCTGCGAGGCCATGTGGAACCAGATCGCGACGAAAGAAAGCAACGGCGAAGACGAAAACACAAGGGCTTTGGTCCGGTTGGTGAGGGGCCGGATCGTCCGGGCCCTGGAAAAGACCGGGAGCGGGAAAGGAACCTCCCGTGTGGTGGTGGTGGAGGGAGTGGAGCTGGAGGACGGATCGGTGCTCCCGGCCGACGTCCTGGTGGTGGCCTGCGGGCCGTGGACCCACGAGGCCAACGGGTGGTTCGGAAGCGGCCGGGCCGTCCTCCCGGACATTACTTCCGTCAAGTGCCACTCCATCCTGGTGGCCAACACCGCAAGCAAGACCGAACGCGGAAGCACGACCACCAAGCCCTACTCCCAGGCCGTCTTTTTCGACAGCAACGGGGCGATCGGTGCCGAGGGCGACCTGGAGGTCTACCCCCGGCCGGACGGGGATTCCTACGTCAACGGCTTTGCCAACCCCGAGGGCGTCTGCCTGGAGCGACCGGGGGAAGAAGCGATCGAGGAGGACAAGATCAGCCTGCTCCGGTCGGCGATGGAATTCGTGGAAAGGAACCGGGGCGGCGGTGGCGGTGCTTTTCGGGAACGGGACCACACCCAGCAGGTGTGCTACTGGCCCGAGACGCCGGACGGCCTCCCTCTGATCGGCGAGATCCCGGGCATCGGTGGCGCCTACGTAGCCGGTGAGTACGGTCCGAGTCTGATGCGACTCGATGCAACTCGATGCGATGCCGTGCCATGCGAACGAAGCGAATCCCATCGATCTTGTTGGCCACAGGAGGCATTCGCATGCCCCGGGCACCCGTGCTCACAAACCTTGCTCGTTGCCTGATTCGTTTTTTCTTGGGTGTCCATTGCGGTTGCAGCCGGGCACAGCGTCTGGGGGATCCTCCAGGGCCCTGCCACGGGAAAAGCGGTCGCCGAGCTCATTGCGACCGGGCGATCGGAATCCATCGATCTCGCACCCTTCCGAGTGGGACGTTTCTATGGTTCCGAGGAAGAAAAAGAATAAATCCTGGGAATCGCGGCAGGCGATCCGATGCGATGCGATGAGGTGGAACGAACAAACAAACAAACTATTTGACACAGAAGTAGACCATTTACGTTTACATAATATTATACTGTAACTTAGAGAACGAGCATTCCCCAAAAAAATGGGAGAGATTTCTCGATCGACGACTGCGAGAGGAAGGGAAGAGAAGGTACTCGCACCGTTTCGGAATCGTCCTTCGTGGGACAAGCTCCTTTGTCGCACCGAGCTGCACCGGGCTCCGTGCGTGCGTGCGTCGGTGGAAGCCTACCCGGCTGCTACCAGCCGAACCTCCCGAGCTTATAGGACGACGAGTACTCGCGCCATCCGTTGCGGTAGGAGACGGGCCTGGACCTTCTCGGTTTTTCGTAGTAGTAATAGCCATAGTACGAGGAGGATCCCTTTCCCTTCCCTTTTCCTCCCCCCTTGCCTTTTCCGTAACCTCTCTTGGACGACTTGGAGTAGTAGTAGTACGAAGCAGATCCTTTTCCTTTCCCCTTACCGTCCCCCTTGCCTTTTCCGTAACTTTTCTTGGACGAC